ATTTAATATTTTAAAAAGGCTCTTCCCAACACTTGTACGTTACAAAAGACAGTCAAAAAGAGGCAGTAAGCTACTCCAATTTTAAACTCAGCCTAAAAACTAACATTTATATAGCAACATCTAAAATAGTATCCTTGTTTTTTTGCCAGTCAACACAAAAGAAAAATTTTACCATAAAGTAAAAATAATTCTATAGCTAACATTAAAAATTCTCCCTGAATACAAGTATTAAACATTTATTTTAACATATCACAAGGAACAGTCCCTGATCACCCAGAATATTTGAGATGTGTCTGCTTAAATGAAAGCTTTAAGTACAACAAATAAGTGAGCACCTACTCTCTACTGTGAATCAATCCTTTGGAAATGAAAGCTAATTATACATTATTAAATATTTAAAAAAATAAACACAGCATCTTTTACAAAAATTCCACACTGATATTTCTTTAGCTCCTTTTGACAGTTCTTCCAAGTCTTTTTCGTTTTCTCCATTTTAAACACTCAATGATAGCACACATTTAAGTCCCAGTACTAACTTCCAGAAAAGCGGATCTGTTAGGATTTATGTAACACACTTAAAAAAAAAACCCTACAGGTGTAAGGCTTTGATGCATGAAAAATGGGTACATTATTCTTAGAAATAAGAAACCAATTTAAGAAGTTAGACTTTCACTAAGACCACTAAGGTGTGTGTTAAAAGGAAGAATTTCTCCTAAATTATTAATTGGCTTTTATCTTCACTTCCTCATTTTAGATCCAAGAAGTCCTAGAGCTTACTATGGTATACATGGTAAAAATTCTCTGGCTGGAAGCTCTAAGACAAGCCAAAATTGTGAGAGAGCTATCAGAGATCTAAAGAGTTGAAGGGAAATGGAGGAGCCCTGTAAAGGTTCTAAACTTAAATTGAGATCAAAGGGATCCTATAACGTACACTGACAACAAAAGGGAAGTACGATCAAAATATAGTCTCTAAAAATAAATTTGCTCTCCAATTACGTTATAATTTTCCACAAATCCACTTAAACAGATAAACACCTAATCCCTCAAAACTCAGCTACCCTAAGAACAAAAGATCATTTGACTAGTCTCCCCCCTACCCTACCAGACATACTGTATCAAAACTCACCGAGAGAAAAAACCATGCCTAACCTTTTAATAAATTTGCCTCTACAATTCTAATTTAAAACACAGTCAATGAGGTATACATTAACAAAAGCCAAACATTTATAACCATGTTATTTATAAATTAACTATTTAAAATAAAGTATAATATACTTCAAACATATATCAAAACAAGCAAAAAAAACCTAAGGCAATGGAGCAGCCCAGTATGAGGAAAGCTAATAGCATGAAGGCAGCTTTTCTCATGATTTCTAACTTGGTATTGTTTATCTGAAGCCAAGTAAGTCCAAATGCTCTGTGTCTAGACCTGATCAAGGTCACTATCAAGAAAAAACAATGGGTGTAGACAGTGTTCCCTCCCCTGGCTACATAAACCAAATTTCCCTAAGAGTATACTGGTTTCCCACATTAAATAGTAAGTTAAAGTACCAACCTTCTGAACCACAGATCTTAACCACACAGTCTATAAAACAAACGCACAATCTTTACACTGAAGTTACGACCTAGACTTACATGATCACCCAGAGCATAATAAAAATGAGTATTGACCAGAAATCCCTACACAAACTCCTATTACCCACTAATATTTCATTTTACAATACATTTCAAAGATTCTTAGTAAGGTTATGTGCTCAGTCTTCCATGATGAAACTCTCTAAGCCAGTTATTTCTAAGATTATTTTGTAGAACAAAAAGTAAACTAGCTCATTTGTGAACTTCATGATTCTCTTGTTCCACTGTAAATATCAGAGCAGAATTTACAGTGGAATAAAAGAATCATTAAAGGGTGTATACTCCCCAACCTTTTTAAAACCTACTGGATTGAAAGGCACTCATCTTTCAGTTATTCCATATCAGACTGGTCATTAAACGCCATTAATGGCCCCACTGAAAACTCACTGCTAAGTTGAGGCCAAAAACATCAACCTCCCACTACAGAGGTGAATTTTAATCATTCCTACTTTTTCAAATACTGGTAAATGACACCATTTAATTTTCTGTCTCAATCTATTAGATTCTGAAATTAGAATAAAATGGATTCAAGACCCTATATTATGGTATGGCTTTTACTTCAAGTCATTAAAACAGAAAAAGTTCCACATCCCAAAATAGGTAAATGGGCATTGGTGGGGGGGGGGGGTGGCTTCAAGAACTAAAGCCTTACTTTTCTACTTACATAATTACAATAGTATGCTATAAAACAATTTTAAAAGGTAGCAAAGTGTACAGCTGCACTTCGTGAAATATACAGATAACTTGGAAAATTCTTAAGGAATGCTAAAATACGTGAGAAAAATGGATGCAAAATAGAATAATGAGAAGAACAAGCATCTCCACACCCAGTGAAGTAACAGGTTTAGGCTTGTTTGTACAGCTCCCTAAAAATTAATCTGAAAGAGTACAAAAACCAAAATTCACAAAATTGGTCAAGAAGTGGATGGGAAACATTTCACTTTAAATTAAAACATGTAATCCCACAAAATGTTACACTTACACACTTATTAAACATTTTAACTTACTTTAGCACAGAGAATAAAAAACACTTGCACTAAACCGAGCAAGAAACTATTCCTTGTCCCAAGTAATTTTCTTTTTTTAATGTTTAAGAGTACCTACCCTCACTACTTGAATTTCTAAGGCTACCTGAGTGTTTTAATTTTTTTTCGAAAGTGGTGTCATTTTATTTGCCTCTCAGGAAAAACCAATAAAATTAATCAACTAAAACACAGCACTGTAATTTGCAGTAAAATCAACACATTTTTGTAAACTATTTGGGGAAGAAAAGAAGCACAGTCTTTTCATGTAAACATAATAAGCCCGTAATATGCTGCAGACAAACGCACTGCATGGGGTGTGGAGGACCCGAGCTGATTAGATTACCACAACATCAGCCTGGGGCCGCCATTTTTAGAATCTGTAAAGGACAAAAGAGGGAAATTTCACTTTTTACTTCCCATCTCGGAAAATAAAGGAAAAAACGGGGCTATCTTCCAATTAGGTATTGATGTCTCCAGCCTAGAGTTGAATGCACCTCACTTAATTCTCTCCAAGGTCTCCAGAACTCCAACACCTTACGTTATTCACATCTCTAAAAGGAGGGGAAACAGGCACCAAAAAACCCAAACCAAACCAAAACAAAACCCAGGGTTTACTCCAAAGCGAACTCTAGCGATTTCTCTTTGACTTTAAATTGTATCATTCTTAAGAGTCTAGCAAGAACGGATCTATCTCTACGGAACTGGGGCCAATGGAAGAGAGCACTCCGGATTGTTTTTTCTCTCCCCCCCTCCCCCGTTTAGCACAGTGAACCGTTTGTTTCTCTTCTCTATCTGCTGCCACAGTGTTTGTGCCAATCCCTTTGGTCAAAATAAGCTTTTCTGAAATGTGCCATATTGTGGATTCTAAGCCTGCGGTACAGTAAAGGACCGCGATAATGCAAGAGGAGTGGGGGAGGAGACTGAGAAGGCTGGGTACTGGGGTGACCACCTCAGGGGCGGGTTTACCCTCTCCCGGAGAGGATGAGGAGCTGTCTCGTTCCCCCACAAAGGGAGATAGAGACCCAGAACGTCCTCTTAACCCCCTTCGTATTTATCAGGTAATTGCACCAGAGAATACCAGGCAATTAATGGAAGAAGAAGAAAATGGGGCCTATACGGTTTTTCAGCACCTGAACAAGATGCGGTCGAGGAAAGGGAGACTGGCAGCTCCTGGGACCACTTCGACACAAACCCTACTAACAGTCACAAGCCTCCCTCCTCACCCAAGCGGCCTTAACCCGCTGCCAATGAGGAGTGCGCCCCCTCCCTACCTCCCACTCTCAAGGGGGTTTAACTGCCAGTTTCCCCTTTCCCCAACCCTAAAACCCGCCATAATGCTCCCTTTCTAGGGACAGGGAAGAGAAAGGATAAATTCTATTCAAACAAGCAGCGTCTTTCTCCAGCCCAGACACCTGAGAGTCAACGTCGACTCCCCCCCCCCCCCTCGCAAAAGAATAAAAATGAGAGAGCCCCCTCCCCCTTGAAACACGCGTCCCTCCACCCCACAAACCCCAAGAACTCCCAAGGAGACGACAGGCACTGACCTGTGATGTTCACACACCAGACACCCGAACCCCGTTATCTGCTCGACCCCCAGGTAGTCTCTCCACACCTCCGCGAACAGACGACCCCCCGACAGCAGCCACTGCGGACACAGGACCCGGCTCCACACACCCCCTCCCCAAACAGCAGCGCGCAGCCTCTTCACCAGCAATCAAAGAGTAGGGGAGGGGGCACCCAGACAGTCAACAGGAACGCAGAGGCGACGGCAAGGCTGCTCAGAGTGTCTATGCCCCCTCTGTTGCCGCTCCCGAACTCAGGCACGGTCTCCGACTCGGCCCCCTGCGCCCGCTCAGTGTCACTGCCTCTCGCTCTGGGAAAATGGCGGCGACGGCGGCGGCGGCCGCGGCGGCGGCGGCGGCGGCGGCGGCCGCGGCGGCGGCGGCAAGTGCACGGGGCCCGCCCGCCCCGCTCCGCAGGGGCAGAGGGGGAGGGGACGAAGCTGCCCGCCGCCATTTTGCTTGTGGGCTGCCACCCGCCGTTGCCTCTTCCAGAGAGGCTTGAAGATAGCCAACTGGAGGCAGAGAGGTGGGCAGAACCTCCGTCTTTTTCACAACAGATGCATTCAACAATTCACAGAAGGTTTGGGAAGTTTCGGTATTTGGTGGGATTGGTTCTTTACCCCTTTTCCTTGAGCAGCCTTCAAGTCTGGATATCGGCGACGTTGGGCACGCCACTGCTGGGTGGAAGGATGAGGACTGTAGGCCCTGGGAACAACTCCCCCCCCCCCCCTTCCTAAAGCGATGCACTTTCTCCCACTCCCCAAACCATCTCAGTCTCAGTCTTCCCCTCCCCCTCCCCAGTCTGGCCTCCAGCGCTGGGTGAACTCGGTTGGGGTGTCACTCGACGCCCACTAGGGGCTGTAGAGGCTCCAGTGCGCAGACTCCGGGCACCGGATAAAAGCGGAGCTGGGGCGTCCAGCGCCGTCTCGATGGAGGAGCGAGAAACGGAAGAGGTCGGGGGGAGAAGCAGCAGGAAAAGTACAGCCACCGTCAGCGCCGCTTTCCTGCCACCGTGTTTCGGGGTAAAAAGCTGCCGTTGCCGTCGGTGCAGTTGCCGTCGCTGCCTCCTACTTCTTTTGGCCCAGGGGAAGGATTTCCCCGCCGGCGGGACAGTGTGCGGGGTGGGGAGCGGGAGTTCCTTTATGTGGTGGTGATTAAACGAGGGAGGGACAGAGAGACGGTTATCTCCAAGAAAAAAAGGGGAAGCCAAAGAATAAAACAAGGGTTTCCCCACTAAAATAACACGGCGATTCTTGTTCTTGTTTTCGGGGTCTTTCCCCCGAAATGGCGGTTTCCGTCTTCTCGCTCCACAGAGACCGGGAGCGCTTGGTAAGCGAAGTGGGGAGAGGCAGAGGCGGTCCGTGCAGCCAATCAGTGCCTGATGTGTTCTGTCGGGCGCGTCGTGATTGGCTAGCGATGACCTCATGCTGCAGCAGCGGGTGGGGCCAGAGCCGTCGTGGGAGGCTGTTGCAAAGGCAGAGAGGGAGAAGTGACGATGGTGATCGTTGCTGCCGCGGCTGATATGGAACCCAAGCAGTGGCGAAGAGAATCTCAAGGCTCTTCCCTGAGTATTTTCTCCTGTCCCTGCGCGAGGTGAGGGCCCCGGCTCGGCCTCTGCGAAACTTTGGGGCGCTGGCGCGGACGAGGAGACGAAATTCCTCCCATGACTTTTGTAACTGCGTCAGGGCAAGATGGCGCTGGGTCTCCTTGGGGCGCGGGGGGAGAGGCACGTCCACCGCCGCCGCAGCGCATGTGACCGGGCTGCATTCCTGTGGGGTTTGGCTCCGACCCAGGCTGGGGTGGGGGAGGGGAAAGGGCTTGGGCGGAGGAGACTGTGGTGCGGTCGGCGTTGGCGGCCTGAAGAGGAAGAGATGACTGTTTGAGAGCGATTCCCCTCCCCCATATAGCTTATTACAGTTGCGGCTGCGGGGGGAAAGCCCCTGGAGGGACACTCCTTACGGGGTGACGGCTGTTGGTGGTGGAGTTTTGGTGCCCTATTTTCTTACCTTTCTCCTTGCAAAGTTCTTACGTAAGGTGACAGGTTCCTAGTGTTGGAGTCGCAGTCATCTGCGAGTCCCTGAGGGCCGCTGGACTGAGTGAAAAAAAAAAGAGACTAGCTGGGCCACAACGTCAAGAAGTTATCAGTAATTTTTTGAGAAAGCGTTAGGTTTCTCAGATCCCAGAGGAAAAATATTTCCTATATTTGGAAGCAAGTGTAAAAGGTGTAAGTAACACCCAGGAACACTTAAAATTTCCTAAAAGTTACCATTTGAATTTTGAGGATCATTTTCAGGCTTTCTGTTCCTTCCTGTGTACTTCTCATATTCTCCCTATCTGTATATTCTAAAAGAATGTGTCATTTTAGTGGATACGCTTTTCAAATTTAGGAGTGATTAGTAATAACAGAATAAAAGCTGCTGCTGTTGTAATCTACATGAAGTAAGGATGTTTTCAAACTTTTGTCTTTCTGTTGCCCTCTTATGTATGGTTTTTAAAAATAAAAGATGAAATCACTTTTGGTAAATGTTACTCATTAAGATTCCTGCACCATTAATGAAGCCTGCCTCTTTAAACCACTTCTGTAGGAAGTGTGGAACTTTAGTTACAGTTTTTGAAACCTTGTTAGTTGAAGGTCTTTAGTTCAAAAGTTATTAAGTAGCCTATATTGGTAGGTTCAGTAAGAAATACTAGTTTTGTTTTTGGTTATTCCCACTTGCACAGACAAGCATAGTAACCATTTAACTAAACTGGTGAAAATTGAAAAAGCTTCTCCCCTCTGGTGGTGTTGAGAGTAGGGAGTTACACACAACAAAGATACTTGCACCGAAACCTGACTTGCTTTTTGACAGGACACATCTTGTGCTAGGAGGAAATGTTTGCTAGACCTGAAAAGATGGGTTTAACTCAGGTCAAGGTTATGTTATTTCTTATAGTGTTAGTTGTAGACTTGGTAGTGTGAAAACAAGATTTTGTTTATACTTAAACCCTTGCTAGTTTTTGTGGCTTTTTCATTGAAGTAACAGTATGAATAAACTGAAAAGCCTGTAATTAAAGTGTAAATATTAAGTAGTATGAAGATTTTAGAGTTCAGAGTTTTTTGTGTTCATCCTTTGTGAATAGAAAATGGGCACTGCATTTAAGAACTCTTGAATAACTTGGAGGATTTGTCATGTATAAATTGTGTCTCCCTAAACTGTCATAGCAACTTTTATTTTGGCTCAGGAAAAAGGGAACAAATATGAAGTCAGGTTTTTGTTTCATTTTGTTTTGTTTTTTTAAAGATTTTATTTATTTATTTATTTATTTCACTGGTAGATTACAAGTAGGCAGCGAGGCAGGCAGGGAGAGGAGGAAGCAGGCTCCCTGCTGAGCAGACAGCCCTATGCGGGACTCCATCTATCCCAGGACCCTGGGATCATGACCTGAGCCGAAGGCAGAGACTTTAACCCACTGAGCCACCCAGGCACCCCTGAAGTCAGGTTTTTAAGGTAATTTTCAGTCTTCCTAGCTTCACTCTCCCTTAATAAGGAAGAGAGGCCATTTTTCAAGCTAATAGAAACATCCTTGTTTTTTTCTTTTTATAAGATTTTACTTTTTTTTTTTGACAGAGGGAGATCACAAGTAGGCAGAGAGGAGGCGGGGGGGGGGGGGGGGAGGGGGGGAAGCAGGCTCCCTGCTGAGCAGAGAGCCAGATGTGGGGCTGGATCCCAGGACCCTGAGATCATGACCTGAGCAGAAGGCAGAGGCTCAACCCTCTGAGCCACCCAGGCGCCCCAAGTTTTTGTCTTTTTCATCAGTATGTCTACATTATTCCCAATTGCCACATCTTGAGCTCTAGTTTTTCTTTGCCACGTTCCTATGGTGTTTTAAATACTACTTGGAATTTTTTCTTTGACTACCTCCTTGTGTTATATGTTCTCTCTGGGCAATTTCATTTGTGTCTATGACTCCATAAAGCCTAAATTTTTATCTCAAGCTGTAAATGCAGTGTTAAGGTATACAAGGGGGGGTGCCCACAGTCTTCCTAAACTACCGAAAAAATACTGAGCTTGGTACTAGATTCCAAAGAACTTTGTTCACCCATTCCCTCAAAATATTTTTCTTTCTCATTCTCTTTAATTATTTGAGTAAACCATAGCCCAGCCTTCTTACATTTTGATTCAAATTATCATCTGTTACATAATTGGAAGTTTTGTAACTGGCTTTAGGTGACAGACATCCCCTAGTTGATAAAATACACCTGGAGTGTTGTTTCATACGTTTGTGTCTTTGTCCATTCCACCCAAAGTACTTCCCACTCCTGGGTAACTTGAGACTTTGCCTCCTGAAACTTCATATTTTAGCTCCCAAGTCATATGAACCGTTCTTTAAATAGTGATGCGGCCCAATGCTTGACACTTGTTTGGCTTTCAGGTATACCCGTGTGTGGGGGGGGGTGTATTTTTTTTTTTTAAGATAACACTCTACTAATAAACTGTAGTGCAAAATGTAAAACCTAGCTTTCACACTTTACGAAAAGCACACTTGAGTACCAGGGTTTGATGAGGAAAGGAAGGATTAGGAGACTCATAGGCAAGGTTTCCTTCCCTTTGACTTAGGTAAAAGGGGGACGGCGCTGCTGGTGGGATATTTCTGACAGCAGAAAGATGGGAAAAAAAAAACTGGCCGTATTTTTCAACATCGTCTTTCTCAAATCTAGAGGACATTTTAACTTCAGTATATAAACACCAGTTATTATTTGGGTTTTTAATTCCTTGATGTGTTTGGGCCTTATTGAAGTATTTAGTACTGCTTGCTCTGATAGCAGAGGACCCCCATGAGTTTAGTTTTTATCATTTTTCTTGCTGTCATTTATAAGTGTCCATGTGACAGCCTCTGGTACCTACATGTGTTTTATGTATCATGAGATTGGCATTCCAATAATAGGGCTTATTAAAATTGCATGTTAAATGAAGCTCCTCAGTAAGAATTCTAAGGGTCAGATTTGAACTTTATAAACATTGGTGACCCTTTTGTCTGCTGTTAAAGCTTTTAGGGTATTTTTGAATAGTGATTGTCTATCTTTTGAAGCTCAAGTTCAAAGTAAGAAAGTATTCTGATTAAATGGGTCTTCACTGGATTTTTTTTTAATAATTGTTTTTTTTTTAAGGTTTTTATTTATTTATTTGACAGATAGCAAGTAGGCAGAGAGAAGGAAGCAGGTCCCCCCCCCCCTCCCCCGCTAAGCAGAGAGCCCGATGCCATGCAGGGCTTGATACCAGGACTCTGGGATCACGACCTGAGCAGAAGGCAGAGGATTTAACCCACTGAGCCACCCAGGCGCCCCCCTGGATTTTGTTTTTTTTTATATGGAATTTTCCTCTGCCCCACTCCAACGCCTGACTTTAGTGTTGTCTAAGTGTAGAACAAAAAGATTTATGTCTGAGGATTTAACTTAAGCCCTTAAATATACCTTAAAATGTTACGGTTGAACATGCCACCTCATTAGTTTAACTTCCTGAAAAATGGATTTAATGCTACCTCTTTCTTTCTGGGCAAGATGTTATTTATCTTAACACTAAACCTGAAATTCATATTTGCAAATAGTCCTCAAAAAAAACTTTTCAGAGTTGTGGACACCTTGAGTCAACTTGATTGGTTTTCTTAAGAAAAAGATAGGTTTATTCCAGAGTATTAAAAAAACATTTTGAAGTTAACTGCCTTCTGGTATTCAAAAAGATCAGGCTTAGGGGTCCCTGGGTGGCTTAGTCTGATGAGTGTCATTGAGCATGGATTCTTGGGTTCAACTCAGGTCATGAGATGGAGCTGCCCTGCCCCAAATAAATAAATCTTTAAAAATATATATACATATATTAGAGTGCCTGGGTGGCTCTGTCTGCCTTTGGCTGGGGCCTCTTCAAATAAATAAAATCTTTTAAAAAAAAAAATGATCAGGCCAGTAGTCTCCCTGCTAACTGTTCAAGTTTGGAACATATATATATTTAAAGATTTTATTTATTTATTTGACAGACAGATCACAAGTAGGCAGAGAGGCAGGCAGAGAGAGATGAGGAAGCAGGCTCCCTGCTGAGCAGAGAGCCCGATGTGGGGCTCGCTAGATCCCATTTCCCTGGGATCATGACCTGAGCCACCCAGGCGCCCTGAAACATCTTCTAAGTACGGAGTTTGCCCTGGAAAATACAGAAACTAATAGTATTCTGCTTCCACCTGAATGAAACAGACAGGAAGCTAGCAAAATCTTACAGAGCCCACTGTAGTGTTCTCTGGAATGATTTAACAGTAGATGTAGAAAATGGGCTCTTTAACATTCAGTGTGAACTATAAACTTTAGTATGAAATGTAAAAATGGAGCCGGTGAAGAGCTGAGAAATCTATTGGAGGTCCTTTCTTTACTCATAATGAGTGGTAATTTACAGAACAAAATTTCTGAATGGACCTAGTTTCCCAGCTCTGCTTGTCCTGTTTAGAGCTTGTGATTGTCTTTTGTCTTTTTTAAAAGTATTTTATGGCTTTTTCCAATCGCTGCCTCTGTTTGCCATAAGCATTGAAGTATGCAGTTTCTCTTGTCTTTGTATTATAAAAAAAAATTGGATTTGGGTTTTTTGTTTGTTCCTTTGTTGTAAGCACACCACAAAACAGCAATATGGTCAGCCTTGTCTTTTCGAGGTACAGAATATACCTTCACTGAACAACTATCTCTTAAACAGTACTGGTCCTAATAGATTGGTTATCGACCTAGAGTAAATGATATTTCATACAACTAAAACTGAAATCGAGTTAAATTATATAGAAGCTTATTCTAAGTGATGATATCACTTTAATATTACTTATCCTAAAAAGTATTTTTAAAAGTGCCTCTCCCAAAGTATATTGATGTACTTGTGTCTCAAATTTAAAACTGTGATCTGGTTTTTCCCCTTTGATTGCTTTGTTCCTGGGACAGATTGAAACTCCAACTCTAATTTGAATACAGTAATTGGCATTCCTACCATATTTAAGACACAGAAAACATAATTCCCAGCCCTTATATTTTCAGTTAGGTTGGCAAGATAAACTACTTGGTAATTAGAACGTTCGAAGCATTTGTGTCTAAATGTTTACTTGCTAGTTTCTCCCAGTTTTTATTCTACCTTTTTTAATTTAGCTCAGTTTTAATGCCACGTCCGTCTCTTTTTGTATAGGTTGGCTTGTTGCTAACAGTTAACATTAAAGAAAGGAAAGATCCCTGGTTAATAAGTGAGGATATAACAGATGGAATTAATAACAGGAGTTTTTTAAATTAGCAAG